GTATCTATTGAGCAAATGATAAGTGTAATGCAGAATCAGTTTCTGGGAACACAATAAATGAATTCTAAGACAGAATCTGTGGGGTTTTATTTGAAGGATGGTGAAAATGTATAGCATGTTAGGAATAATTGGAAACAAATTACAACACAATATTTGAGAGTTAAATTAACAGCTAAAATGGAACAGTTAATAGTAGCCAACCCACTGAAGAAATCCAACTTGAATTTTGAAAAGTTGGAAGGGGCTGAAACATTTCTAGGTTTTGAAAGTTAGACTTGATAAAGATAAGTATTGTGCTTACGGTACTTAATTTCAGAGTTTAACTTTTGAAATATCTGAAAAAAATATTAAAATCTTAGCAAGAAAAGGACACAGAGATTTTGTTCTAATGGGAAAAGCAAGCGAATAAAGATGAACGTTCAGAAGAAGCAAAAGCAGAAATGAGGTTTGGGGAAGTGAGTTTTGGGGATGGGATTTCAGAGGCTTCCTCAGTTGCAGGCCAAGTCCACAAATGGAATCACTGTGCCCAGAGGTTCCATACTGATGACCCAGGGTTAAGTGGAACAACACTTTTCATTCTAGATTGCTGCTGTTGCGTGTGGTTCCTTCCAACTTTGCATTTGGGTGTGCTTTTCTCTGTTACGTTACAGTGGATTTTTATTTGAAAACTTGGTATTAATCTTATCTAGAAAATTATCTCCTTGGAGGTTTTTTAAGCAGAGGTTGGATGGTCATCTGTCATGGATGCGTTATCTGAGATTCCTGCATTTCAGAGGGATGGTCTAGATCAGGGGTCAGCAAACTTTTCCAGCCGTGGGTCGGTCCACTGTTGCTCAGTGGGGGGCTGGACTATATTTTGAAGAAAAAAAGGAATGAATTCCTGTGCCCCACAAATAACCCATAGATGCATTTTAAATAAAAGCACACATTCTACTCATGTAAAAACACGCTGATTCCCGGACTATCCGCGGGCCGGATTTAGAAGGCGATTGGGCCGGATCTGGCCCCTGGGCCTTAGGTTGCCTACTTATGGTCTAGATGACCTTTGTGGTCCTTTGGAACCATACAATTCTATGATTCACTTTGAATAAGAGAAGAAGATGCAGCAGTTGACTATGGAAGGCTCTGTCACAGTGCAAACAATCAAACTCTGGTCCTCCGCTGTTGCGGATTTTAGAACTTCCAGTCTGGTGGGCAGTTCCTACCTAAGCCATACTCTTAGAGATGGGATTATGCTGTTAAATCTTAAATGCAGCTGCTTTCTATCCTAGATGTTTTCCTTGCTTTTTTTATGGACGTGGGAGTGGTGGAACACCAGGATTATCTTTGTCAGAGGAGACTGTGTTGGAATGTCTTGTGGGAAGGAATGCACTTCCTTTCTCACTGCTTTAACTGCTGAAACATCATCCCTCCAAAAGCATCCAAGAGGCCTGAAGTCAACACTGAGCATTTTGTATTCTGCCACCAACCGAAAGAAACCAGGGTCAGATAAAATGAATGCAAGTTTGCGTATGTGACGAGCACGTGGCACCTTGCAGGCATCCGTAAGAAATTATTTCATACCTGCAAGCATTTGCATGGTAGCCTGGAGGTTTGGTTACAAGGGGCGTCATGCTATGCTGAGCCTCTCTTTTGAGCAGACTTGGCTTAGCCTGGTAATTGGTTGGTAGTGAATTGCTCCAAACTTCTTCCTCTTGTTGTTGTTGTTTAGTCATTTAGTCGTGTCTAACTCTTCATGACCCCATGGACCAGAGCACGCCAGGCACTCCTGTCTTCCACTGCCTCCCGCAGTTTGGTCAGACTCATGTTTGTAGCTTCGAGAACACTGTCCAACCTTCTTGTCCTCTGTCATCCCCTTCTCCTTGTGCCCTCCATCTTTCCCAACATCAGGGTCTTTTCCAGGGAGTCTTCTCTTCTCATGAGGTGGCCAAAGTATTGGAGCCTCAGCTTCAGGATCTGTCCTTCCAGTGAGCACTCAGGGCTGATTTCCTTCAGAATGGATAGGTTTGATCTTCTTGCAGTCCATGGGACTCTCAAGAGTCTCCTCCAGCACCATAATTCAAAAGCATCAATTCTTCAGCGACCAGCCTTCGTTATGGTCCAGCTCTCACTTCCATACATCACTACTGGGAAAACCATAGCTTTAACTATATGGACCTTTGTGCTCCAAACTACTGGGATGCAAATCTTGCCCAACTCCAAGGATGGGTGTTTGCTTTCCATGTGACGGAAAAGAAAGTGCAGGCGAGTCACACTTTATCTCCCCTAATTTTGGGGTCAAATCTAAAGGGAGAAAGTGCATATGATTCCCATGGGAAGTCGGGTGATTTGCCCCTGTATCAGGAGGATGAACATCTCTCTCTCTAGCCAAAATGGGTATATTTCCACCTTTGGATGAGTCCCAGGAAAGGAAGTGCGAATCATTTGCACTTGTTTTCTTACTTTTCTCCTTCTGAGCTTTCAAAACATTTCTGAATCAGTCATAATTCTAAGTGTTATTGTATTGTGGGCTTGGAGACAGTGTGGAGGACATGCAAACAGTGGGCACAAGAGGGATTTCTGCTGGCATTTAAGCAATGCCAAGTACTGGTAAACGTATCTTCAAACAAGTGAGGTTATTTCAGCTGGAACTCAGTTCCGCCACCTCTCAGGTGGACGCCATTATAAGAGAACAAGGGAGGCGGTTCATGTTGAGTCCTGGCACTTCTTTTTCTAGAACAATAGGTAAGGTAAAGGGACCCCTGACCATTTGGTCCAGTCGTGGCCGACTCTGGGGTTGCGGCGCTCATCTGGCTTTATTGGCCGAAGGAGCCGGCGTACAGCTTCCGGGTCATGTGGCCAGCATGACTAAGCTGCTTCTGGCGAACCAGAGCAGCGGACGGAAACACTGTTTACCTTCCCACTGGAGCGGTACCTATTTATCCACTTGCACTTTGACATGCTTTCGAACTGCTAGGTGGGGAGGAGCAGGGACCGAGCAACGGGAGCTCACCCCGTCACGGGGATTTGAACTGCTGACCTTCAGATCGGCAACTCCTAGGCTCTGTGGTTTAACCCACAGTGCCACTCGCGTCCTTCTAGAACAATAGCACTGCTTAAAACTCATACTGCCTTTTCATAGTGTGCCTCTTCCCTCCTCCCCAGTTCAGCTGAACTGGCGCTGTTCTCCTTACTTGAAAAATCTTTAGATCCTTCATACTAAATTAAGCCCATTCTTTGTGTGGTGGAGACTTCAGGTCGCACATTCATTAGAATGGGAGATTCGATAGGCCAGACCACAACAGTGATTTTCAAAGTCTTGAAAAAGGGAGCTGATACAAATTCATGTGTTCTGCATGTGTACGGGAGGGCTCAGCCCCAACATTCCTTCAACCCATGCAATATTTGTAAAATAATAGAAGAATAAAGAGTTGGCTATGCTTCATACTGATGTGATATTTAGTCAGCTTGGAAATCTTTTGACCGTGGTTTTAGTTTGCAGTACCCATTCCTGCACCCACCTGTCTTTAATTTAAATTGATGGCTTGTTGTGACTTGCCACAATCTCATATCATTTTTTAATTATAGGTCTACTGTGCAGGGACAGAACGTGTGGCAGGCTTAGAATAGAATACACAGCCAAACTAAATCAAGTTAATTGGGAGTAAATGTGTTTAAATTTGCTTATATCCTGGTCTTCTAAACTGTGATACTATATGGGAAGTGCAGCCATCCCCCCCCCCCCCCCGGAATACAATCCATTCATGCCCTCTCTGTTTGCAAAAACCCTGATTGCAATAGATGTGTTGATCTTCAGAGCTGTTCTTTTAAACGTCTAACTATCGGTTATATGCAACTGGAAGTTCCAAACATCCCCTTCACCCCATAAAGCAGAATTCAGGGTAGGGATGTGCATGTCAAATGGTAGGGTTCAGTTTTTGACAGCCTTTATTATGTTCACCAAGACATAGTAAATAGGCTGCTATCTAGAAAACATTTGTGTAGGATTCTGCCCCATAACAGGGATGTGGGTGGTGCTGTGGGTTAAACCACAGAGCCTAGGACTTGCTGATCAGAAGGTTGGCAGTTCGAATCCCCGCGACGGGGTGAGCTCCCGTTGCTCAGTCCCTGCTCCTGCCAACCTAGCAGTGTGAAAACATGTCTAAATGCAAGTAGATAAATAGGTACCGCTCTGGCAGGAAGGTAAACGGTGTTTCCGTTCGCTGCTCTGGTTCGCCAGAAGCGGCTTAGTCATGCTGGCCACATGACCCGGAAGCTGTACGCCAGCTCCCTCGGCCAATAAAGCGAAATGGACGCCACAACCCCAGAGTCGGCCACGACTGGACCTAATGGTCAGGGGTCCCGTTACCTTTTACCTGCCCCATAATATCAACCAGACAGCATGGGAAACAGCAGAACAAAACACTAATGAGGCCAATGAATTTCACTCCGATGTGTTGTTGTTTTTTAAAAGAATCTAAGTAGAAATCTTACAACGGGGATAATCTTGTGGCTTTAATAATCTAATAATGTTACAGCCGGTAGTTACCCTTGCGCTGGTTGTCAGCTCACTTTCGGATGGGGAACAGTTGCTGCAGAGAAACTGCTCATGCTGTGGGGATGCTGGCAATTCCAGTGTCAATCACACAGTGATAACAACGGCGAAGCTGTACTGCAGATGCTGCCATATAAATTTGCCATGGAAGCTGGATAGTCTGGAGAACGGCTTTGAGGATTGTTGGTCCTTAGCAGCTAAGCTATGTGAAAGAAACAAGAAACCCTAACTAATTACTCTAAAATCTACATGGAAAATATTTAGACACTGGGAAAAAAACAGCCAAAGGCCAAGAGTTTCCTACTCGGTGCATCTGTGCTACAGTGTGGAGGAGTGAGAAGGAGAGGGGAACAGGAAGGAGCAAAGCCCTCTAACCAGTCAGAAAACCCAAACTAGAACTGTATAGCAATAAAGATGACCAGCATACATGCAGCCTACATTTCTCAGACTTTGAAAAGGACAGAAAGGGTTGCTTTTTAAGCTCAGTTAGTAGAGCATGAGGCTTTTAATCTCAGGGTTGCAGGTTCACATTGGGTGAAATATTCCTGCATTCCAGGCCCCTTGTGGTCCCTTCCAACTCTACAATTCTGTGATTCTAAGTTGTAAACTCCACCTTGCCTTCTTTCCCTTCTCCCCAAAGAATGGCGATGGTGGAGTTTAGGTACAGGCCGTAGGTTGGCTGGTATAGTGTCCAAAGCTGTTAGACTTGGATCTGGGAGACCTGAAAAAACGCTGCTCTGCTATTGGTCACAAAGCTGTTGTAAGATTAAAAGGGGATGGGTCTATGTATGTTGCCCTGAACATCTTGGATGCAGAGGTAACAAACTGAGAAAGAAGATCATTCCCCTGGACTGAACTAAACGTAGTCGGGATCAGATCTTCTCATTCTATTTCATAACTAGTTCAGAAGTTTTAGCATGCCAAAGTCCACAGCAGAGAGAGGTTCATTCTGGACTGTTCACTAGCAGTCTGCCTACCGATAGCTGATGGTCAGGCAGCAGCATAACAGTAAACCTGGGAGTGGGGGTAGATGCAAATGCATGGACATAAATATGTATACTTGGGAGGAATTCTGGAAAATATAACTGGAGAAAGCTGCCTCAATATGTTCTGTTCTGCATGCAAGCCCAGGCAGTTCAACATAATAGAGTCTGGAGAGAGTCTAGAGGAGAAATTTAGGAGCGTTCCTACCCAGAGCAACTTGCCAACTTTTGTGTTTGTTGAAAAGCACCTCCCAATTTTATTGGGGTTTTTTTTTGATACTCGTGAAATGTTTATGATGTTTTCATGCTGCATTGTGCCCTTTTATTCCCCTGGCCACAGCTGCTCTTTGTTCCATGTTTCCATATTCTTCTTTGCTATCGCTGTCCTCTGGCTCCCATGCCCTCACTGCCATTTAATCCAATCCATCATGCTGTGCCTAAGGGATGGGATAAGGAGATTTGGTTCAGTTCACATGTCTCGCCAAAGTGGTGCATGCTCTAGTTATCTCCCGCTTGAACTACTGCAATGCGCTCTACGTGGGGCTACCTTTGAAGGTGACCCGGAAACTACAACTAATCCAGAATGCGGCAGCTAGACTGGTGACTGGGGGTGACCGCCGAGACCACATAACACCAGTCTTGAAAGACCTACATTGGTTCCCAGTACGTTTCCGAGCACAATTCAAAGTGTTGGTGTTGACCTTTAAAGCTCTAAATGGCCTCGGCCCAGTATACCTGAAGGAGTGTCTCCACCCCCATCGTTCAGCCCGGACGCTGAGGTCCAGTGCCAAGGGCCTTCTGGCGGTTCCCTCATTGCGAACAGGGAACCAGACAGAGGGCCTTCTCGGTAGTGGCGCCCACCCTATGAAACACCCTCCCATCAGATGTCAAAGAGATAAACAACTACCTGACATTCAGAAGACATCTTAAGGCAGCCCTATTCAGGGAAGTTTTTAATGTATGACATATTAGTGTATTTTTGGTCTTTGTGGAAGACCAAAGAGTGGCTGGGGAAACCCAGCCAGATGGGCGGGGTACAAATAATAAATTATTATTATATTATTATTATTCAAAGGTGAACTTACCTAATTTCCACTTCCTGAAACGATCTGCTAACCAAACAATGGCCACCTTTCAAAATTCACACTTCTCTGAATTTTGCAATGCAGTTTTCCAGTCAAGCAATGTGCATATAAATGTATAAAGTGGGACAAAGTGTGCATAAAAATGCATGTATTTGAGGATATGTCATACAAAATGCATTAAATTTGGGGAAATTCTTTTGCAAAATGTGTATAGTAGGCAATGACATACCAGCATGTGTCTATTAGGAGAAATTTGCTTCATGAAGATTTTATTTTTTTATTTTTTTTTAAGATGCTAAGTGATGGGGATTTAGGATTGGAAAATTGAGAAACCAAAATCAGCAGATTTGCCCATCAATAGCTGTGGCTATCTGCATGATCTTGTCTCAGTGGCACACTGATAAAAGGTCTTATGCAACAACATGGTGGACATCCAAAGTGAAGGTCATCAGAGTAAATCCAATCAAATGGCAGTAAGTGAGGCTAAATAAAAGTAAAAAAGAAGAATGGTGCTATGAAGCAAAAGGTTGCCAAACAGCATCCAACAATGTGAATGCTCATTGGGATGAGTATTTTTCCAACTATGGCTTGCATGCATTGAATACTTTTCAAAGTAAATATCAAAATTAGAAAATAGTCAGCACAGTCCCCATGAATTACCCGTTTTCTCCCAATTACATTTCATAGAATCATAGAATAGTAGAGTTGGAAGGGACTCTGAGGGTCATCTAGTCCAACCTGCTGCAATGCAGGAATCACGACTAAACCATCCATGGCAAATAACCACCCAATCTCTGCTTTAAAAGCTCCAAGGAAGAAGAGTCCACCACTGTCCAAGGGAGTCTTTTACACTGTCGAACAGCTCTTGCTGTCAGAAAGTTCTTCCCGATGCTTAGTCAGAATCTCCTTTCTTGTAACTTGAATCTATTGGTTCAATTCCTGCCCTCCAGAGCAGGAGAAAACAAGCTTGCTCCTTCTTCCATGTGACAGCCCTTGAGATATTTGAAGATGGCTATCATATCTCCTCTCAGTCTCCTCTTTTCTAGGTTAGCATACTCAAGTCCCTCTGTCATTCCTTACAAGGCTTGGTTTCCAGACCCTTGATCATCTTGGTTACCCTCCTCTGCACATGTTCCAGCTCGTCAATATCCTTCTTAAAATTGTGGTGCCCAGAACTGGACACAGCATTCCAGGTGTGGTCTGACCGAGGCAGAATAGAGTGGCACTATTACTTCCCTTGATCTGGTCACTATTCTTCTGTTGATACAGCCTAGATGACACATTGCAAATATTATCACCTAACATTAGGCAGTCCATTTCAATACCTAATCAGTGTGATTAAAAAGAGGTCCCAACTGCAACACTTTGGGTCCCCACCCTACCCTGACAAGAAGCAGAAGGAAGGGGAGAAGTGGTGTTTGACCTATTAGCATCAAGTCAATGGATCAACAGTACAGGAAAAGAGGACATAAAGAATCAGTTACACTAGGTAAGAAAATTTCAGCCATGGGCCACCAAACCTTATTTCAGAAACCACCTCTTAGCCAGTCTTCAGCTTCTGGTTTCTCTATATCAGCGGTTCTCAACCTGTGGGTCCCCAGATGTTGTTGGACTACAACTCCCATCATCCCCGAGCTCTGGCCTTGCTAGCTAGGGGTGATGGGAGTTGTAGTTCAACAACATCTGGAGACCCACAAGTTGAGAAATGCTGCTCTATATACTGGTCTCCACAAGCATAAATGGCGGTGCCCAGAACTGAACATGGTATTCCAAGTGTGGTCTGACCAAGGCAGAACAGCAATGAGTGACTAAATTCATCACCCAACTCAAATTGGTCTTCGCATTGCTTCCTACAACAACATTTCCTACACACATACAAACATGGGTGACAAGCTTGAGTAGGCTCCTGGCATAGCACTGCTCGTGCTCCAACCCAAACCTCAATGATGTCAGCTAGTGCTATATCACCGACACTGCCTGGGAACCCCTTGGCAGGCTTCATTGGCATAGGATCACAGAGGTCCAAGCGCCCTGCGAAGCAGGAATATGCAGCTGTCCCATACAGGGATTGAACCTTCAACCTTGGTGCTATCAGCACCATGCTCTAACCGACTGAGTTATCCGGGCTCTTTGTATATTGACACCAGAGGGCCCTGCTCAGCTGCATGGCCCCAGCAGCTGCCCAAATATTCCAGGTTCTGATGCTGAACCTGATGGTCACCACACCGCACAGGTTAAGGTATAAAATGAAATTAAAGTACCATAGATTCCGGCGTGGGGCGCGGGTGACGCTGTGGGTTAAACCACAGAGCCTAGGACTTGCCGATCAGAAGGTGGGCGGTTCGAATCCCCACGACGGGGTGAGCTCCTGTTGCTCAGTCCCTGCTCCTGCCAACCTAGCAGTTCGAAAGCATCTCAAAGTGCAAGTAGATAAATAGGTACCGCTCCGGCGGGAAGGTAAACGGCGTTTCCGTGCGCTGCTCTGGTTTGCCAGAAGTGGCTTAGTCATGCTGGCAACATGACCCGGAAGCTGTACGCCGGCTCCCTCGGTCAGTAAAGTGAGATGAGCGCTGCAACCCCAGAGTCGGCCACGACTGGACCTAATGGTCAGGGGTCCCTTTACCTTTAGATTCCGGCGTATTAGGCAACTGGGTGTATAAAACGACCCCCAACTTTTGCTGTTCAATTGTAGAGTTTTAGAGTTATAGAGTTTGAGCACCGCCAGGGCAGAGCGTGCACCCCTCCGCTGCCTCTGCCGTCGCAGCAGCAGGAGCAGCCTGAGGCGAGGCGTTTAGCGGGCAGGCGGGTGAGCGCCACGCTCGGAAGGACTTTCCGCGTCCCCTTCTGTGGGGAGGGAGGAGGAGCGACGGCAGAAGGGGCGCCTCTACTCACCGTCTCCCTCTCCACACGAGAGCCAGTGTGGTGTAGTGGTTAAGAGCGATAGACTCGTAATCTGGGGAACCTGGTTCGTGTCTCCGTTCCTCCACATGCAGCTGCTGGGTGACCTTGGGCTAGTCACACTTCTCTGAAGTTTCTCAGCCCCACTCACCTCACAGAGTGTTTGTTGTGGGGGAGGAAGGGAAAGGAGAATGTAAGCTGCTTTGAGACTCCTTTGGGTAGTGATAAAGCGGGATATCAAATCCAAACTCTTCTTCTCTTCTTCTTCTTCCTCCTTCCCAACGTGTATACCCAGCATATAAGACAACCCCAAACTTTTGGGGCAATTTTCCAGGGATAATAAGTCGTCTTGTACGCCGGAACATACGGTAACTGCTGAACATAGTTTAGGAAGTTGCCCTGAGTTTGCTCTTTCTCCATCTTGGACCATTGGCACAATATTTTCTGCAGTTTCTCATTTGCTACTGCAGGACCTCTTGAAGGTGAGCTAGAGGCCATCCAAATAATTTGGTGGGGAGGGGAGTTACAATTGGATTTGGGGGGTGGGGGGTGCTAAGTTGACACAATGGAACTGCCTAGCCATGCATTCTTGGGCAATTTTTGCTGAAACATTGACTTACTAAAGTAAATATTTTGGGATCATTACAGGAAATAAATTTCATGGTGTTTTTAACTTGTATCTATAAAAAGCTAGAAAGGATACTGAGCAGACAGCAGTGGTCTGGTGAGTAGACCCTGCAGCTGTGTTGGCTTCATAAATGTTTTGCATGTGCCTTTCTTCAAGAGCAGATAAGCAACAACAACAACCCCCTCCTCACATACACACACAAAAAAACCCCTTCCCAAATGCCATTGTCTTCCAAGATCATGAGATCTTTAATGTAATAATTTTATCAAAATAGGCTATGCATTTTTCCCATTAAATGTTTGAAATAATTAGCAGAGATTTCAGCACCAAGCAGCAGCTGTTGAGAAAATCAGGCATAACAAAATCTCCAAAATATTTGCAAGAAGTGAAATTGCAATTATGTAAATCCAGGCTACTGGAATTGTAAACATGGAAACCCAGGAGAGAGCCGTCAGCTGCATCTTAAAGAAAAATCTTCATTTTTGTTTTATTTTTTTGCAAGTCCCTTGCTAGCAACAGATCATCCCCCTGATCTCTCAGCCACTCGCTTCTTTCTTCTCTTTTTTTTCGAGCCTGGAAGGGAAGTGGCTGGAAGCTGATTCCTTGAACGATTTTGTCCTCTTGTTCACCGCAGTGTGAACAGCTGTGCAGAATTCTCCAACACCATTTTCTGTATGTACCGGCCAATGGTCAGCTGAGATGAAAAGGGAAAACATTCGTCTTCCAAGATGTCTTAGGGTTTGCCCTTGAAAGAAATGTGGCGGCGGGGTGTGTGTGAGGGGAGTATAACAGTGCTGAAGCAGATGCAGAACAGATTCCTGTTACAGTTTTGACACCATCTGAACCTAAATCTAAACCCCAGTGCAAGGAAGTTTTTAGAACCCTGTTTCAAACAGCTGTTGGGTAGACAGGGGACCAGGTCTATAGTCATCCCCGCAAAGTTGACATGGATCAGCATCAGATCAGTCATAGACAATGAGGGTTATGGTATATATATCCTTATGCGAGTTTTTGAAAACCAGAGAAACTTGCCTACTTCCTTGACAATAATTATCCTGCACCTATTCTTTGGCCCATGACAAAACAAAAGGCAATTAAAAATGGCACCTGTATTTTAATATCTGTAGCAACATCAACATTGTTTCAAGTGATGCAATTAAAGTACAGTGGTACCTCGGGTTAAGAACTTAATTCGTTCTGGAGGTCCGTTCTTAACCTGAAACTGTTCTTAACCTGAAGTACCACTTTAGCTAATGGGGCCTCCCGCTGCCGCCGCGCCACGGGAGCACGATTTCTGTTCTCATCCTGAAGCAAAGTTCTTAACCCGAGGTACTATTTCTGGGTTAGCAGAGTCTGTAACCTGAACATAGCTGTCAACTTACAGATTTGAAAATAAGGGACCAGCGGCCTCGAAAATAAGGGACCAGCAGCCAAAATAAGGGGTTTTCCCAGCACAAGTATGTTCAACTTCTGAGCCCCTCCAAGCCCAGCCAGCAGCCAAACGAAGCCTCAAGCGGTGGTTCCCACAGTGCAGCAACCCGGCAAAGGGGATGCAGGAAGGGAAACCACTGTCACCACTCCACTGGGAAGCGCTGAGCAAAGGCGAGTCCCCAGGCAATGCGGCTGATTTGATTGGCACAAGGCATGCAAGCTCCACCGCCCCAGTTATTCTTAGACTCCTTATTGGGTGAGCAACACAGCCAAGCAACACAGTTGGAGTCTCTGTCCTCCCTGTCCGGCAGGCAGGCAGGGAGGGAGAGGAGCTGCTTCCTTTGAAACCCGGGAAATTTAAGGGGCATCATCAATAAGGGACAGCAGCGGGACACAGTGCTAGGATAAGGGACTTTCCCACCAAAGAAGAGACGGTTGACAGCTATGAACCTGAAGCATCTGTAATCTGAAGCCTATGTAACCCGAGGTACCACTGTAATGTGTTAGGCCCAAAGGCATTGTTCTTCCCACCTTTCTAGGGAGCTGATTTTACAGAAGTATCTATCCATTTTCTTGTAGAAGAGCTTAGGTCTTGCAAGAGGCTCTCATCTGATTATATGGCTTGGCTTCCTTAATTTTAATGAGCTTGAGGAGTTCCTGTCTGGCAAAATATTTGCTGTGTTCTAGAAAAGTCAGCTATTGACAAGCTTGTTTGAACAGTCACTAACACTGATGGAAAAACTTCAGGGAAATAAAATAAACCTAACTAGTGTTTTATAGTCGGTGAACATTGACTGTCGGCAGCGGAAGGAGGTTCTAAGATAGAGAAACCTTCCCTGCTTCTACCAGAGGCAACTGGTTCTTAGCAGCAGAGAAAGCTGCAAAGCCTTTGATTTTCTTTTGTGGTGCTTGCCATTGAAAGACCTAACCAACAATGACAAGAATGGAAACAATAAAACCAAATAAAAGTTTCATTGCTTAACCATAAAAAATGAAGCCTTCACAGAAAAAGATAAAACAGAAAGCATATTAAGAACAAGGGACGACACATGATATTATGTGGATTAAATCAAAATCGAAACCAGATAAAAATCTATTCCCAACAGGTTACTAATCACTGCATGAATCCAAAAGCAATGGTAAGGAGGGGCATATACTAATTGACTGGAAGATCGTTGCCATTTATTGCATTAGATTCAACAACAACAACAACAACAGTTTCATTATTTATACCCTGCCCACCTGGCTGGGTTTCCCCAGCCACTCTGGGCAGCTTCCAACATATATATAAGAACATAATAAAACATAAAACATCAAGAACTTCCCAATACAGAACACATTCCAGCAAATCAGGGCTGCTTGGGGGTGTAGCTTGGGAGGATGTGTGGCTTGGGGAGAATCCTGGGGGCCAGACTGAAAGGCCTGGAGGGCCACATTCAGCCCCAGGTCTGATGTTCCCCATCTCTGCCCTAGGGAGTTCATGGCAGAGGTGGGGTTTGCATTGGGCTTTCCACCTCATACAGTTGTTCACTTGGCTGCACCAGCTTTTGTTTTCCTCTTCTTATTCCTCTTTACCTTATTCCTCAAGCATAATAGGACTTCCCTATTCATCCAGCCTCTCCCCTTCTTTTGAGGGACGATTCATGAATTCATGGCAATATCCAGTGACAGGTAATTGTGCTTACCCCACAGAAACACATAGGCTTTTAGCACATCCCTGCGTGTAACAATAACAACAGCAATAATTTTATTATTTATATGCCACCCATATAAATTGCCCCAGCCGCTCCAGATGGCTCCCAACAAAATATTAAAAACACAATACAGTGGTACCTTGGTTTATGAACTTAATCCGTTCCGGAAGTCCGCTCTTAAACCGAAACCGTTCTTAAACCGAGGTGCGCTTTCCCTAATGAGGCCTCCCGCCACCAGTGCCCTTCCACCGTTTGGCTTCCGTTCTTAGGCTGAGGTAAAGTTCGCAAACCGGGACACTACTTCCGGTTTTGCGGAGTTTGTAAATCGAATCGTTCGTAAACAGGACTGTTCTTAAACTGAGATACCACTGTAAAACCTCCGACGTTAAAAACTTCCCTGTGCAGGGCTGCCTTTAGATGTCTTCTAAAAGTAGCATTCTTTGAATGGCATACATGGTACCAGCCTCTCTTTAAAA